GGGGCTGGCTGGCATGTGGTGCTGGGGGATTGAACCGCGGTCCCTGTGCTTTAGCTAAGCTTGTTCTAAGTAGGTGCTTTAGACCACTGAGCCATCTCTCCAGCCCGCCAGCTTTCTTAATAATTATTGAGATTTGAAAACTGAGATGCCCTTCAACAGGTGAATAAGTAGCTAAAGACTGGTGACCATCCTGACCATGCTAAAAATAAATGGGCTGCTCAACCAGGAAGTCCTGTGGAAGAAACTGAGGTTCGGCTCCCCAGTGACAGAGGGCCCTGTACAAGCAACCTCCCGCAGGCTTCCGCGGCAGACCTCAGAGGAGGCAGAGCTTGGGAGAGATCATGGCTTGCCCAGAGTTGGGATGGAGGGGTGAGAAGGAGGAGCACAGGTTTAGGGGCCCTGAAACTGTTTGGAACACATTTCATTAGAAACCTGCTGGATTCCACAGGACCTGAATGCAAACTGCGGACTCCTGCGTTGGTCAGGATCAATGTGGAGCCATCAGTTCTTTTTTTTTTTTTTTTTTTTTGCGGAACTGAGGATTGAACTGAGGCCCTTGCGCTTGCCAGGGAAGCGCTTATTCCACTGAGCCATCTCCCCGGCCCCCATCAGTTCTACTAAAGGTGCCACTGTGATGTAGGGCTTGATAGGGGCTAAAAGTCTCATCAGCCAGGTATGGTGGTGCATACCTGTAATCCCAGCACTCGGGAGGCTGAGGGAGGAGAATCATTCGAGTTCAAGACCAGCCTTGGGGGGCCAGGGACATGGCTCAGTAGAATAAGAGCTTCCCTGGCAAGCGCAAGGGTCTGAGTTCAATTCCCAGTCCTAGCTACCTGGAGGCGAGGGCAGAAGAGTCCTTGAGCCCAGGAGCTGGAAGCCAGCCTGGGCAGCATAGCGTAGGCCACGTTTCAGAGGGAGAGAGAGACAAAGATAAGGGAGAGGCGAGAACGTTGCTCAGCGGCATAGCTCGTTCAGGGCCTGGCACTGCAGAGGGAGAGCGTTTCATTGATTATCTGTGGAATTCAGTGACCTCAGCCGCATGAACCTGCAGCATTTGCAGCTGTGATTATGTTCTCTCTTTACTGCTGTCCCTGGCTTTTCGCAGTTGCACAACACACACCTGCGCTCGGACATTCTCGGTGAGGGTGGCTGCCAGGTGTCGGGGCTCCGCGAGGCCCCGCCCACGGAGAGGCCCCGCCCCTCCTGGGCTTGGGGGGGGGGCTCCGGAACGCGCTGGAAATCCGGGGTGCTTTGCACAAGCAAGTGGGCGTTTTATGATTTCAGATTCAGTACAGAAATAGAGAAACAGGGGCCCAGGACACGGGGTATGTGACTGTCACCTGTCACCCCCACATGTGCTGCTGCTGGGGTCAGGTGAGCTTCCTGAGAGGATCCTGGGCAGGGGCTCGGGTCTCCAGAGGTCGCTGCCCAGCCCCTCTCCTGTCCCACACATGTCCCCTCCCGCCTGCGGCCCCCCTTACCTGTGTGGCCGTTGTTGATCATGGTGAACTGGCCATCCTGGGCGTCATTGTAGCCGGCGAAGTCCAGCTCATTCAGAGCAGGGTTGAAGCGCACCGCCTGCCTCTGCAAGTCGATGGGAGACTGTCGACTGCCCCCACACTCCGGGTACTCCAGCGGCCAGTGTGCCTCATCCAGGTCCCCTTCTGTGACACAGACAGCAGGTGCAGGTCAGGAGCCATCCAGGACCCCCAGGAGGGCCAGGGCACCCGAGCCTGCTCTGCAGGCCTGATTTTGGGGGCTTTGGTGCTAACTAGGAACCTTCCCGTTGCCCCAGGAGCACGTATGCTTGGGAACAGCGGCTGGGTGCTTCCGGGCTGGGCCGGGGGCTTTCCTCTCGGCCCTAGAGCCACGGTGCTCTTCGCAAGCCCCAAGAGCACCCAGCCCCTCTTTTCTCTCAGCAGCCCCTTTCTTTGTCATGCTCCCTGGGCGGCAAAGACCACAGAGCTACACCCAGGGACCCTGAAAGAGCATCAGGAATGACTATTTTTTTAATTGAAAAGTTGGGCACAATCAGGGCACCAATAGTCCCAGCTGACTCAGGAGGCTGAGACAAGAGGGTCTCTTAAGCCCCAAAATGAGATCTAATCTCTTAAAGAGAAAGTCAAGTAAAATTATCTGAGTGAGGAAGTTTATCTTTTTGGACACAGCTCATAATCTCAGGGGCCAGAGAAGGCAGTTATTATGGGTGATTCAGCCCCTGAACCTCAAGGGTGAGTTACTGCTTCTCCCGTGTGCGCCTGAGAGTCCACGTCAGCCCTTCTGGGGTCTGTGTTTCAGGAACACGTCCTGCTTTGGCCTTGCACACCTTCTCCATTTGCAATTGATAGAAATATCGATTCTCTATTTCTCTGCCCTTTTCTTGTCTACTTAATAACCCAACCTGGGTGTAAGCTTTCCTCCTTCTGCGGGGGTCCAGCACCATGGCCGCCGGGGCAGCTGCCCAGGGCTCCTGGAAGGCCCTGGAAGAACCAGCCAGCTCCTGCCCCCCGCTGGGCCTGGGGGGACGGGACCTTCATCCTCGGGACCCTCCCTCTTCCTGCAGGCCAGAGCCACTGCAGGGCATCAGCCAGATGGAGCCATCCCCCAGGCGTCCCTGGCCATGGGTGGCACTCCTGTGCCAGGCACAGCAGGGCTCATGTAGGGGACTGCTCATGTGGCCGTTGTTGATCATGGTGAACTGGCCATCCTGGGCGTCATTGTAGCCCCAGGATATCCTTGACTACTGCCCTTGTCCTGGCAGGGCCCTCTGTGCCTACCTGAGGCTGGTGTCCCCACATATCTGAGGCAGGGTGGGCTCAGTCCCCATCACTGGTGCCACCTGCACCAGCCAGGAATCCTGTTCCACAGTCCAATACAGAACAGGGGGGACACAGGCAGGAGGTGTCCTGTGACCACATGCAGGGACATCTGGCGTCCTGTCTCCAGCTCACCGTGGAGCCAAACCCATGCCAATGCCAGGACTCCAACCCCGTCACACTGCAGAACTCAGCTTGGCAGTCTGGGGCCATCTGAAGGCAGGTGGGTTCTGGTCAAGTCCAGAAGCTCCAAGCAAAGCCGTGCGTGGTGGCTCATGCCTGTGCTCCCCATGCCCAGAAGGCTGAGGCAGGAGGGTTGCTCTGAGTTAGAAGCCAGCCTGGGCTAACTAGACCCTGTCTCAAAAAACAAAAATAAAATATAAAAGAGGCGGGCCAGGGATATAGCTCAGCGACATAAGCACCTGCCTTGCAAGCACGAGGACCTGAGTTCAATTCCTGGTTCCAAAAAAAACCCCAAAAAACTGCATGTTCTGGGGCCCGGGAGATGGCTCAGTAGAATAAGCGTTTGCCTGGCAAGCACAAGGGCCTGAGTTCAATCCCTGGTGCCGCAAAAAAAAAAAAAAAAAAAAACTCTGCATGTTCTGTTTTCACAAACCAAGAAAGCAAATGGATTTTGGCTCAGAAGTGGCCAACACTGTAGACAGAAACGGTTGAAGGCACGGAGCCTGCGTGAACCTGGGGTTCAGACTGGGGAGCGTTTTCCTCTTTTCCTGCATGAGAGTTCGAGTGCTCTTTCTTTCTTTCTTTCTTTCTTTCTTTCTTTCTTTCTTTCTTTCTTTCTTTCTTTCTTTCTTTCTTTCTTTCTTTCCAGCTCTTTCTTCATTCATTTGGAGACATCAAAAAAAGTAGCGGGGCTGGGAGTGTAGCTCAGCAGCACAGTGCCTGCCTGGCAAGCGCAAGGTTGTGAGCTTGATTCCCAGTATCAAAAAAAAAGGTAGCATCTGCACAGACACAGGGACGTACTCTTGCCCTCTCCATGCTCTGGGAGGCTGAGGCAGGAGGATTACAAGTTTGAGCCCAGCCTGGGCAACTGAGGGTCTTAGTGAAACCCTGTATCCAAAAATAAACATTTTGGGGCCTGGGAGATGGCTCAGTAGGATAAGCGCTTGACTGGCAAACACAAGGATCTGAGTTCAATCCCCAGTTCCGCCAAATAAATAAATAAATAAATAAATAAATAAATAAATAAACATTAAAAAGGTTGATGATGGAGTTCAGCAAATGGGCACTGGGTTCTATCCCCATGACTGCCATTTTTGCTTGTTTTGCTTTGTTTTTTTGAGACAGGGTCTCACTCACAGGCTGGGCTCCAACTCATGGAGATCCTCTTGTCTCAGCCTTTCAGCTGCTATGCAAATTTAAAAATTAAAACCAAAAGAAGAATAGACAGCATCTGAGCCCACTGCGAGCCAACCCCAGCCAAGGCGCCACGCAGATGTGGGTGCTGCTGCACGAGCCCCACGGAGCGCTGCTTACCTGAGTAGGTCCACCCTGACCCAACTCGGGTCTGGACCCCCAGGAGGAGCAGGGCCACCAGCGCTGCCAGGGTCGCCATGGCACTGCAGGTCTGGAGCAGTACAGGTGCCAGGGCAGCTCTCCTTTTAAAAGCTCAGAAACTGTAAATAACAATTTACACCCCGTCCAGCTGGCTGATCTGCCCTGCCCTGCACCCACAGAACAATAACACCTCCCCACAATGGCCCTTCTCAGTGGGTGCCGTGTGGCAGGCGTGCCAGGTACAATTAGCCGTGTCTGCTGTCAGGGCCCGCCTGGGACCTCACGGGAGCCCAAGACCGCACAGAGCCGCCATTGTGGAGGGGACCCAGGAGGAAGGGGCTCCCGGCCACGCGCTTCCTCTGTCCTTTCTGCAGGCTACGTGGGGCATCACGGGCTGCACGCCCCGCCGGATCCCCGCTGGCATTTCCTGCCTGTCTGGCAGCCTCCTCCAGGGCCGACTGTACTGTCGCAGCCAGCACCCAAAAAATGGGCTGGCAGCTGAGTCCAGCTGGGACTGGGGCTGACCCTGGCCAAGGCCACAGCGTGGACAGTGGTCCCCAGCTTTGTCCTGACCAATCCGCTACCTGGCCACCTGACGGTGGGCCACCCCATCCCATATGTCTGCCCAGCCAGCGAAGGGGAGCGCAGACGCCCTCACAGCATCCTCGCAGCTGGCAGCAGTGGCCAAGTCCTTCACGCAGGGCAAAGGGCAGGCAGAGTTCCCCACACTGTTCCTGTTCCCAAGCCAGGCCCGCACCGGCAAGCAGAGCCAGACTGGAAGGACAAGCCAAAGGGCACTCAAGGTGCTTCTGGGGCTCCCTGTCACTGTCATAGGGGATAGTAGGAGTCAGCCACCGCTGCAATGATCCCCAGAAAGCCTGGCGTTGTGACACATACCTGAAACCCTAGCACTCAGGAGGCTGAGGCAGGAGGATCGCTGTGAGTTCAAAGCCAGCCTGGGTGGCCCATGAAGCTCAGAGGCTGCAAGAGTCTCGAAGGCATCAAGGTCAAGAGCAAGGATGCCGAAGCAGAGCGAGGGCTCCCCGCTCCACCCAGCCAAGCATCTGAACGCTGGCCGCCTTGGTCTCCCCACCCTCGGGAGGAGATTTTGCTGCTGCCGCCCTCCCGGGAACTCAGCACTAGAGTTGCTTGCTGTGTGGACAAGGACTTAGCTTTGACACCTACCAGGCAGTGAGGGAACGACAGGTACAAATGGTTGTGGAGCTCGTGGGACTTTCCGTGTGGGCCGAAATCCAGGCCCCACACCCGGTCTTTGTGAAGTCGGTCTGAGAGCCCCCTGCAGGGGGGACAGTGGTGTGGACCCCACAGCCCTGCCACACTGAGGAGAGACATCCAGGCAGCACAAGCAACGCTGGATGCTCTCCCTGGGCATCTCCTTGGGGAAACTGAGGCAGTCTCCTGCAGAAGGAGCAAAGCGGAACCATCTCTGGGTAACAGTGCCGAGGAGCCCTGCCCAAGCTGGGCACTTGGTGTCAGGAGCAGGGAGCAGCCCCGGTGGCAGAGCCCCACAAGAGGTAGCCTCCCATGGCCTGGCCATTCAGCAGGGGCTACCCAAAACCCAGTCAGCCAGCACCATGGGGCATTTCAAATCATAAAAGAAGTTAGGCAATGAGGCGCATGCCTGTTGCCCCAACACGCAGAAGGCTGAGGCAGGAGGAGTGCTGTGAGTTCAAGGCCAGCTGGGGCTGCATAGTGAGGCCCTGTCTTAAAAAAAAAAAGCTAGGGGTCCGGGGAGATGGCTCAGTGGAATAAGCGCTTCCCTGGCAAGCACAAGAACCTGAGTTCAATCCCCGGTTTCTCAAAAAAAAAAAAAAAGCTACCAGAGGAACAGCTTGGCTGGGATTGTGACCGACATCTGTAGAGGAGGACAAGGTATCAAAGCCAGGGCTCCTGCCCCCTGGGGTGGCTTCCTTCCGGTGACAGTCGGCACAGAACCAAGTCACGTCAGGCCGGCTGCCTAATATCTGACGCACAGTCTCCTCTGACCTTAAAACTTTCCACCAGCTCCTTCCTTCTCTGTGTGAGGCGTGCTTGTTCCCTCTGTACATGTGCGCGCGTGGGTGTGTGCACGTGTGCATGCGTGTGTGCCACTGTGGCCCTACACACCCAGCCTCCCCGGCTTCACAGCTGCAGCCCCACATGGGGAGTCACTTGCCTGGGCTGCTGTGGAGGGCGACAGAGACAAGGTGACACTGCCGCCCCAGGGCAGGAGGAGAACAGGGCACCCCATCCTCTCAGGAGTCGGGCTCATCCCAGGGACACAAGGGTGTGCCGCTCGCACCAGCCAGCGGAGACGGGACAGCAGGGATGGCGGGGATAGTGCGTGGGACACCCCAGCCGAGCACACAGCTGCTGCTACGTTCCGTCTGGGCGTCCAGCCTCCCACGGATGGATGACTCGTTGTGCACCAGTGAGTTCGGTGCTCAGCCCCACCCTGTATAAACTCCAACAAGTGGCTGGGAATGGTGGCCCAGGTCAGTCATCCCTGCACGTGGGAGGCTGAGGCAGGAGGATCACTGCAAGTTCAGAGTCAGCCTGGGCTACCTAGGGAGACCCTGTCTCAAAAAAACAAACACAAAGGAATGGTTCTGGATGTGAATTTCACATTGTGTGCAAGTTGCCACATCAAAGAGGATTCATCGTGAGAATTCTGGACCTCCCTCTGAGACCTTCATCAGGCACCTGCAGCCCCGCCCGCACGCCTGTAGGGTAGCTTGGAGGACCGGCTGGGCTGGGCTCTGCCAAGAAGGACACAGAAGCCCCGGTGAGGACACATGGGATCCACCACAGCCAGTGACGTAAGACTGCCTCGTTCCCCCACATTGGAAAAACAAATAATTCTAAACTTTAAAAAAAAATAAAATTAAAAGCATAGCCCAGACGGCCAGGCAACCACAGGCCACGGGCCTGCTCTTTACGCAGCGTCTGGGTGGCCAGCAGTCACCACGCAGCCACAAGTGCCAGAGACTCCGTGTTTACCAGCGCCTCACGGGCATGACTGCCAAAACACACACTCGCCTCACTCTGAGGCAACACCTGCTATTCTTCCTATTCTCTTCTCTTCTTTTTATTGAGACAGAGTCTCTCTAGATAGCTCAGGCTGGCCCTGAACTTGTGGAGATCTTCCCGCCTCAGCTTCCTGAGTGCTGGGATTACAGGCATATGCCACCATGCCCAGTTTTTTTCTTTTTCTTTCTTTCCACAACTGTGCTATAAATCCACCTGTTTTAAAATTATTGTTTTAGGGCTGGTGAGATGGCTCAGTAGTCTAAAGCACCTACTTAGAACAAGCTTGGCAAAGCACAGGGACCGCGGTTCAATCCCCCAGCACCACATGCCAGCCAGCCCCGCCCCCTGGTGGGCTGAGCTGGCCACACACACAAACACACACACACACACAAAATAAATAAATAAATAAATTTAAAAAAAATATTGTTTTATTTAGGGGCATATGTTGATCTTGATAAGTTACATATGTTGATCTTGAATTTGAGAGCCTTCTGACTCAGTCTCCCAAATAGATGGGATTGAAG